ACCGAGCATTGCATTTAGGCTGAAGATACTCATTGGTGCCGACAAGTCGCAGTCACGAAGCGTCGAGTGAAGATTGTGCACGTTGTAGTTCTTACCGTGTACGCTCGTATGCTCTGCACTCGTGCTCCCCTACGCGCCAAACATAGTCCAAGCGACAATTGGCGGTGTCACGGACCTGAGGCTTGGTTTTACGGGCCCAATCCACCGAGAAAAGGACACATTCATCGTCTGGAGACTTGGTTGCACAAGCTCAATCCAGCTGATATGATAGTGTTGGAAACCATGCTGCCCAAGCATGCACAGATAGGTCCATACCATCAATATCAAGACTACCAAGTACGGGCGCGGGGCACCTTGTCAAATCCTATGAGCGAAGCATAGCAAGATTGTGATCAAGCACGAAGTGTAGAACTCGGGACAACTCCTCAAGTTCTCAAATTCTTTCATTACTTAAAAAATATTGTTTTCAATCTAGAATTTAATGAGGTCCGACCTCACTTGGAAATGAACGGGCGGTGGCCCAAAAAAAAAATGATGCCTCGCTCTCGGTGTTTAGTCGATCACGGCTCGGCTCTCGGGCAAGGAAATGATCATACTACTTTCTAAGTCCGGGGTTAGTTGCTCGGTCAGGGCAATTGTAAGACCGGCTTCCGGGTCGAAAAGGTATGCGAGAGGTCGCGTTCCGAGCCCCTCTCGTACATCCGTAGTCTAGCATTACTGTCTAAACAGCTCGCATGCATGTATGATCCAATCAACAATGCGACAACTATATGACCGGTCTTCGGACTGAAGGAATGCGAAAGGTCATGCTCCGAGCCCCTTTCGTACATCCGTTGTCTGACGTTGGTAGGCTTAGCAGCCCGCATACGCGCTTGACAGGATCAACAGTGCGGGTCCGTTCTGGTCTGATCATGCAGGGCCCTGCCCTTACGTTTGGCCGACTTCAGTTCGACTTTCAGAAACGGAACAACCAAAAATTTTCCTAAGTATGAAACTAGCTGTACAAGTCAAGGTGGTGTAAGACCGACCTCCGGGTCGAAGGTATGCGAGAGGTCGCGCCCCGAGCCCCTCTCGTACATCCGTTGTCTAATCACTAGCCAAACTGCTTGCACAACTCGTTGGTCCAAGACTGACAGTGTGCGGGTCAGCCCCGCCTTACCTAGCAGGGCGCGGTCAAGGTCGGCCCTGCCAACCTTCCGCCCCTCACGGCCTAGGTGGGGAGCCAGATCCCCGATTAGTTCTCCAAGTATTCTTGAATGAAAAACGGCTAAGTAAATTGAAAGAACAAATGATGCACACATACAAGCTCAAGCGAAAAATCAATCACAAAGACCAACTCCAAGATCATCATTGCCCGATTTTCTTCGCCTCATCACAGGTAGTCTGCATATAATGCCAGCCAATTGCAACCCTCCTTGTTCCGCAGCTAAGCTCGGATATACTCCGGACACCGGTCTTCAATCCTGGAAGTGATGAGCTCCGAAAACTGTAAGGGGATTTGAACAAAGCAACTGCCTCATCTCCCACATCCTCGTGCCTCTCGTATTCCAAGCGAGACGTCGCTGCATCACGGCAGACCCCTCGGTCTCAACGTGATCATTTATCTGAAGACCGGCCTCATCCCCTCACTTCATGGATGAGGACCGTTGTGTGGATTTCCGGACTGACCCCTCAGTGCCGATGTCCTTGCCTCACGGCAGACCCCCCGGTCTCAACGTGATCATTTATCTGAAGACCGGTCTCATCCTCTCACTTCATGGATGAGGACCGTTGTGTGGATTTTTGGACCGGCCCCTCAGTGCCAACGTCCTTGCATCACGGCAGACCCCTTGGTCTCAACGTGGTCGCCATACTCTCAAGGCCGGTCTCAGTCATCCCTTCCCGGATGGCGACCGTTGCTTGGATCTTTAGATCGGCCCTCCAGTGCCGATGCACATGCATCACGATCGGCCCCCCTCAGCCTCGATGTGATGCTCTATATCAAAGACCGGCTCCTCAGCGCCGAAGTCTTGATCTAGCAACCGGGCTCGCCATCCCTTCCTGGATGGTGACCGTCGCCTCTACATGACGACCGGCTCATTTCTTCCCCGTCATCATTATTCGGATCGGATACCCGGATCGCCATCCGGCCTCAACGTACAAGTGTACAATTGCGACCCGCCTTCTCCAAGCATTATCTCAGCTCGACACCATCAACAAACAAAGTTGCTAGGTGGTCTCTCCCGAGCATACCTTGGCTCGACTGACACCACTGACAAACAACCGTGTGACTAGTCTTTCCGGAACATATATCGGCTTACCAGTAAAGCAGGCACTCAACCAAGAACCGAGGGGATTGACCTTCCCTTGCTTTATTTTAAGGTTCTGGTGCACTCTTTTTCCTTCACTAGGATTTTTTCCCATTGGGTTTTTCCTAGTAAGGTTTTAACGAGGCACCCCCTTATCATGAACAAAGGAAGAGGTCTCCCGGTCGGAGTAAAGAAGAGTCCATCCTTTCACAAGCAATGGGATCAAATTCAAGGCTCGATAATGACCGGTCCGGCCGGACAAAAAACCGGACCAATTCCAAATAAGCTTAACTACTCCCTTTTAGCCGAGTCTACTGCTCAACTAAGGGAGTGGGGGACTCGTGTTGGGATAATGGGCCAGGTCCAAGACTATTGGCCCGTTACGCCCAAGCTTTGGCCCGACCAAGCTCAGAACACAGCCCGACTTGCGGATATTGGTCCGAGATTATTTATTTACATATCGGGCTGGCTGGCCCATTAGCGTCAATGTTAGTTGATAAATCGGGGCCAAGCCCATGTAACACTTAATTGGTGGGCTATTGTGTATGCCTATAAATAGGCCACCAACCCCTTGTATTCTGGGAAGCCATTCTCACTATACTGAAATGCTGCCGAATTTTCTACTCAACATATTTTCTACCAACATCAACCGTTTGGTTATGGGGAGATCTCGACAGTGGGTTATGGGAGATGTCACTGGTCTCACGGGTTTGGGGAGATGGGGGGAGACATCAACGGTGGGTTATGGGAGAGAGAGAGAGAGAGAGAGAGAGAGAGAGAGAGAGAGAGAGAGAGAGAGGAGAGAGAGAGAGAGAGAGAGAGAGAGAGAGAGAGAGAGTAGAGAGAGAGAGAGAGAGAGAGAGAGAGAGAGAGAGAGATGAGAGAGAGAGAGAGAGAGAGAGAGAGAGAGAGTTGGGTGGAGTTTCACAGGTCTCAAGTGAAGATATATGGACTGCATGGTTGGGTTGTCAAAAAGATAAAGATGAAGACGATTTTTGAGCAATTTCAAATTTAAAACAGGGACATTTTTCTCATTACATTTATTTTAGCATTCCTAATATAGTATGTGACAATAATAATGAGACACCCGAAAATGATAAAATGAGACAATTATAGGGGGGACGAAGAGAGTATATTTTATTAATAAATTTAGCAAATACAATCAAATCACACATGATGAATCAAAGCAGAAAATTTCACTAGCCATATCCCTGATTAGTGTACAAGTCAATGTAGGAAATCTAAAACAAAAATGCTGTTGGTACACAGTTTGTACACATATTATGTACCCTTCCTTAGTTGTCTGTCCACCAAAGAAATTCGCTAAGAAGATGCTTGGTAGACAAACAACTAGACGTGGTTGGTGTACATAAGTGTAAAAACTATGTGTGAACCAAGCATTGCTGAATCTAAAATTTTGAGATTTATCATATGTGAAAAACTTGTTTGATTTACCTAAGTTTTGAGGAAAACCCGGCCCAATAATCCAAGCAATTCATTTCATTTAGGCCTGTGATCGGTTCGATTCTTGTTAAAATTCGATGGATCCATATTAAAAATTATAGGTGCTAAATTCGGTTCGGTTCTAGTTAAAAATGCAGTTGTTAAATTCGGTTCGGTTCTAGTTAATTTCGGTTCGGTTCTTACATTTTTTCGGTTCCTAATAAAAATTTATTATCCTCCTAAAATGAACACATTTTACCTTCAGTTACATAAAAAAAATTCAAATTTCAAATGATGAAATTATAACCATTACATTATACATACATGATATTCCAATGTTCAAATATCACAAAAATATCCAAGTGCAAACATTAAGTTTAAACATAACAAAAACATAAAGGTTTAAAATATGCATCAACTATCAAGCAAAAAGGTTTAACAGCTTCAAGATACATATCCAATAGCAAGTAGTTCAACCTCATAATAATATTCCTCTACTAGCAATGCACCATAAGTAAAAATACGTAGTAATAAACTGACCAGTAATATTTATAATTTACTATGAACAAATAACAATGCAATCGGCGGAATATTATTTCCTTATTGTGAACTCAAATACAATATACAATCACAAACAAACAATAAATATGAGTATAAAAGTGGACTAAAGTAGTAAAATAACAACTACTTGAATTGGCGTGGTCCACAATATATAACATATATTATGCAAGACAAATATTTCCGAAAAGAATTTTCTGTCCGGAACGCCGTCTGGCCACCTCCATTTGAGGTGCTTCCGGGTAGAATTTTTTGATGATATTTTGTGAGCATGTTCTACATGAAGTGTAGATTACATCCACCAAATTTCAGCTTAAAATGCAACCGGAAAGTGAGTTAAATAAAATATTATAAAACATTGTGTTTTTTATATGTATTTTGACGCAATGTTTTTCAATAATTTATTTAACTTACTCCCCAATTGAATTGTAAGCTCAAATTTAGTGGACACAATCTACATTTCATTTAAAACAAGCCTACAAAATTTTATAAAAAAATTCCACCCAGAAACACTTTAAATGAAGATTACTCATTCAATGTATAAGAAATTCGGTTCCTGCCTAGGAACCGGAACCGAACTAGAACCGAACCGAAACCGAACCAATCATATACTATAGGAACAAAACCGAAAAAAAGATGAAGTCCAAAATTATAGGAACCAAATCGAACTGAAAAATTCGGTTCCGATCGGTTTTCTCGGTTTTACATTCCTATAGGGCCTAATTTCATTTCATTCCTTCTAAAACCTGAACCGCTTGGAAGGGGAAGAATCTTCTCGAAGCCACTCCCCCACCCTCTTATAATCAGAAGTTCTAGCACGCGATAAGCCCTAGCTAACCCACTCAAAAACAACCAGTTCTCACAAGAAAACTCTTTACCAAGCAGGCGAACAAACTCTCGAGAAATGGCTTCAGCTAATGCCATCTCAACTGCTTCAGTCCTTGCTTCACCTTCCAATCAAGTACTGCTGGTTTCCATTTCTCGTTTTGGTTCTCTATGTTTTTCATTTTAGTTTTGTCGTTCTCCTTTTTCTCGGTGTTATTATACGTTTGTTGTCATTTTCTGCTCTGAGCATGTCAAATGTGCTTATCGGCTCGTTTCTTAATGTAGGGAGGTTTAAGGAGCAGGAAGGCTGGCCAATTCCAGGGGAGGAGGAATTTCAATCCCAAGCCCTCCAAGAGCGGGTTTGTTGTTAAGGCTAATGCCAAGGAAATAGCGTTTGACCAAAAATCCAGGAGCGCTCTTCAAGCTGGTATTGATAAGCTTGCTGATGCGGTCGGCCTCACTCTTGGACCCAGAGGTAACTTGAAATTGCCACATCTTTTTGAATAATAATAATAATGGTTTACTCGCCTGTTATCCTGTTTTGAATAAAAGTTGTGATATTTTTTGTACTAATGCAGCCAAAATGTGAATAATTTTGGTTTCTCTCTTTGGGTATAAGTTTCTGTATCGCCATTCCCGTTTTTTAGATAACTAAAAACAAAACCCTGGAAGTAGAAGGTGTTTTTAGTGTTTTCGTCACATTTAAAAAAATCACGAATTACAAGTATATCATTTATCATGTAGTTAAGTATACAACGTATGTCATATGCCTTTTTAAACCATAAAACAAAAACTGAGGATTTAAGATGATACCGAATGAGTCTGGTGTTAAACATTCTTAATTCTTGGTTGAGGTTTTCCTAGACCAACAAAAATAAATAATGTAAAGGAGGAAGTTGTTGAAAAAATTGTAATATATGTTGATGCATCTATTTTTTTCAAGTCAGAAAAGGTTTTACTTGAGAACAAGTTACCTTGAGGTGTTAATGAATACAAAGTTTTCAATGAATTTTTTATTTTAAAAACTGTAAAAGGTATAGGTTATGGTTAAAAGTAACTTGCTAAACTTTTATTTCATGCTTTATTTTTGTACAGGGAGGAATGTAGTGTTGGATGAATTTGGAACTCCTAAAGTTGTTAATGATGGGGTGACAATTGCTCGTGCTATTGAGCTTCCTGATGCTATGGAAAATGCTGGTGCAGCACTCATTAGGGAGGTTGAGACCTGTCTTCCCTTGACTTGATCTTTTAGTTAGCTATGCCTTGACCTTAAGCCCCACTATTTTCTATAGTGTTTTTCATTGGAAAATGTTATTCCATGAAAACATGTTTTTTTTTTTAAATAATGTGTTCTATGCATATTATAAATATACAACGTTGTCTCACAATTTAAGAAAACAAAGAACTGCTTCTGGAGTATTATTTTTTTCTTTGAAAACTAATATTTAGGAATCAAAGAAAATATAGGAAAGATCTTTACATGAACATAGTTTTCTGCCCCCAAATGGGAAAACTTATAAACACATTTTGGAAGAATGTTCTCATAAACAAATGTAGCCTTAATTTCTTTTGTAGCTTTCACATATTCTTCATATGTTCTCTTCGAACCTATTATCTGAAGTCCATGACTACTTAGGTGGCAAGCAAAACCAATGATTCTGCTGGTGATGGGACAACAACTGCATCTGTGCTTGCTCGTGAAATGATCAAGCTCGGTCTATTGAGTGTTACTTCTGGTGCTAACCCTGTTTCCATTAAGAAGGGCATTGAGAAAACTGTACATGGCTTGGTAGAAGCACTTGAAGTCAAAGCTAGGCCAGTTAAAGGTCGTGAGGATATTAAAGGTAACAGACAGTTGCTAAGCAAGCTTCACTGGCTGGCAAGAATTTTGGGTTATAAAGTTTGTGACTAATTGCATTTTATGTCTTCGTCCAGCAATTGCTTCAATCTCGGCTGGTAATGATGAGGTCATTGGCACCATGATTGCGGATGCAATTGATAAAGTTGGCCCTGATGGTGTGTTATCAATTGAGTCATCTTCCTCTTTTGAAACTACTGTCCATGTAGAAGAGGGAATGGAGGTATGTAAACAAATGCTAATGCTCTGTTTGGATTAGGAAGAAATTATGGAAGAAGTAAGTAAGAAAGAAAGAAGTAGCAGAGTAGGGAAAATGAGCACAAAATGACTGCATATTTATGTTGTTGGGATAGAGAGAAGCAGGGAAGAAATATAGGAGAGTGGAAATTCAATTTTTCTGGGATGGTAAAAGAAAAATTACCATCATCACTTCTCTCCATTGTAAAAGAAAAACATTTTGTATTTACTCCACCCCTTCTTTCATCCCTACTTTCCTCCCAAAATTAGACTACAAGAGTGCATCCTATTAATGTCATCCCGCTTTTATTTCCCAATTAAGCATATGCAATGGTGGTTTGATTTGTGCAGATAGATAGAGGATATGTATCCCCTCAATTCGTCACCAATTCTGAGAAGTTGATTGTCGAGTTTGAAAATGCCAGGGTTTTAGTTACGGATCAAAAGATATCTGCAATCAAAGACATTATTCCATTGCTGGAAAAAACAACACAATTAAGAGCTCCACTTCTCATTATTGCTGAAGATGTTAGTGGGGAAGCCTTGGCAACTTTAGTTGTCAACAAGCTGAGAGGCATTCTTAACGTCGCTGCTATTAAAGCACCTGGGTTTGGAGATAGAAGAAAGGCACTTCTGCAAGATATTGCCATTGTAACAGGTTCTTGGACCCTTTTTACATCTATTGTTTTCTTCTTTTTCTCCAATGCTATGTTGGCAATTTGAAAGTGGAGACTGGTAGGAAAGGAAAGGAGTTTTTTTTATGTTTGGTTTGAATGTGAAAAATATAAAGGAAAATCACAATTTGATTAATTTGCTTTATTTTTTTTACATATATTTAGATTTCTTAGTCTTTATTCTCTTAGGTTTAATCCAATCTGAAGTGTGAACAACTGATTGTGTTTTCAGATGCAGAATACTCTATTCATGCTATTCGAGTTTGTTCATAGCTGTTTCTCATACTAGTATTTCTCAATGTTCTAAAAGGCGCTAGGCGCTAGTCGGGGGCCAGCCCAGCGCCTAGCGCCTAGGTGGCAAGTCGGGCGCCTAGGCAGGGACTAGTCGGAGACAGAAATTGTAGTTTTATAAATATTTGTGCATAAATATGATTACTAATGTTGTGTTTGTGTTTTTTTATACACACACATACACATTTACATGTATGAATGATAGAATTGTCACATTTAATAATATATTATACCTACTCACTTACTCGAGTACCACTAGTTTTCCTCATATGCGTTGTTAATGTTTAAGGCATATATATCTCTTAGGATACTTAAACAAAAAAGAAAAAAAACGATGAATCTAGACCGGTAGGCGGCCGATTAAGCGCTCTAGACGGGCAACTAGACGCCTTAGGCAACCGACTAATTCACTTAATGGAAAATTAATTAGTCGGAGTGTCTAGACAAAAATCGAGGCGCCTGACCACCGCCTAGTGCCTAGGCGGGGACTAGTCGGGCGCCTAGAGCGATTTTTAGAACAGTGGTATTTCTTAAGATTATACTTGCAACTTGGAAAATGTTAAGAAAGGATGAAAAAGATGCCAAGATTTTTTCATGCGGAAAATGTGAAATCCTTTATACATTTTCTTTTTTCTCATACAAATGAAACTGATTATAGAGAAAATGATTGAGTTGAGCCAATTTTGATGCTAGACAGATTTTGTATTTTTCCAAATTCCACTTTAGCATTTTTCAGGTCCCAAATTGCACCCCAACTAGTTTAACTTTTTCTCCTGTTGCCTAAAAACTTTCAGGGGCCGAGTACCAAGCAAGTGATATGGGGCTGCTTGTAGAAAACACACAGGTTGAAGCACTTGGCATTGCTCGAAAAGTGACCATAACCAAGGACTCAACAACCATCATTGCTGATGCCGCTTCAAAGGATGAGATACAGTCAAGGATAGCTCAGCTAAAAAATGAACTGCTTGAAACAGATTCAGTATATGATTCTGAGAAGCTCGCTGAGAGAATTGCCAAACTCTCAGGCGGTGTTGCTGTAATAAAAGTTGGTGCAGCAACAGAGACTGAGCTTGAGGACCGGAAGCTTCGTATTGAGGATGCTAAAAATGCTACTTTTGCAGCTATTGAGGAGGGTATTGTTCCCGGTGGTGGTGCTGCCCTTGTTCACCTCTCATCTCATGTTCCTGCAATTAAGGAGAAGTTTGAGGATGCTGAGGAGAAATTAGGTGCTGACATTGTGCAAAAGGTACCTTAACTTTCTTTTTATGTAATAAAATTTCATCATGTTTGGTTACATGATGATGCTCATCATCATCACGAAGATGTTCCTGCAAATGGCTCACTATACTGGTTTCACCATGGGTCATCTAGAAACAGTCTCTGTGTGCTAAACATGTGCAAGGCTGCTTACATCCTCCCTACCCCACCGTATATCAATCAAGGCTTATGTAAGAAACCCTAGGAGAGTGGATTTAAAAGAGTGTGTTGGAAAAAACTCATCATTTTTAGTAACTTATTTAATTATTAGTTATTTGCATTTCTTACGTTATTAATAAATGAAAATTTATTTTGGCCGCATAAAGATTAAGAAATCTAAACATTTGTTTAAATTTAAACTAATGTGACACTTGAGGCATGTCTCGTAGTGTCAAATTTAATATTACTATGTTAACTAAAAAATTGGTTTGTTAAATTGTGTAAAATTCCATATAAACTTATATGCTACAAGAACCGAACCGGAGGGCAACCTAGCCAAACGATTGGGTCACGGGTCAGCCCGGACGTGGTGGGTAAACCTCATCAGTGCTTGACCTGGCCAACATTTATAAAATAATACTCCGTATAATGCTAAATATAATAATAATATATAAAATGAAAATGAAAGGTTGCCTAAGGCAGGTGCCCAGTGAGGAATGAGACAATCAGACAAAGGGGGGGGAGTAGCACCTATTGAAGATAAGATGCGGGAGTCACGCCTACGGTGGTTTGGTCATGTGCATAGAAGACCGAGTGATGCACCTGTGGAGAAGAGGCAGGGAAGAGAGGGAGAGGAAGGTCCAAACAGACGTGGGTTAGGGGAGTCAGAAGTGATATGCTTCTTCTTGGATTGGATGAGGGTATGGCTTTGGAGAGAGCAAAATGGAGGATGGGTATTCGTGTGGATGAGTGATCTTGTATCATCTTTTCCCCTCTTTTTCTTCTTCTTCTTCTTTTATTTCTTTTTCTTTTATATTTTTATCCTTATATATAAATATTACTTTAGCCTTTTTATTTTATCTTTTATATGTATATGCATCTCTTTTATATTATATTTTTTTTATAATAGCTTATCTTTTTTATCTTTATTTTCTTTCTTTTCCTTTTGGTGATATCATGAATCGATTCATGTTAGTCGACCCCAATTTTGTTTGGGATTAAGGCTTAGATGTTGTTGTTTTTGTTGTTTGCCATAGTACCATAGTAGTCGGTTGGATTGACATTCGTTGAGACTGCCTGCGCACCAGGGACTGATTCCTGGCAAAAATTTCCGGGTCTCCCGAGTTTCAGTGCTTCCACGCTGGGTCCTAACAGGTTACCGGTTATTTCTGGTTTTTGCTGGAATTGCTGGTGGATAGGGTTGGACGCTGAGTCACTGATTTCTGGGTTTAACCGGTTTCTTGTAACATAGTTTAAACTTTTAATACATATCACTTTTTTAGAATAAACTTTATATCTGATTAGATATTACACAGTAGTTAGTTGTTTATTTTCTTTGAGTGGGTTATTAAAATGATTGTTGTCATTTTTCTTGTGATAAAATAAACTACAAAACAATGAGCTTTTAGTTGAATCGAGGTAATAAAAAGGGTGACCATGGTTTGTTCCAAGTTTTGAGCTCTTATGTTACAATGAGGAGGTTCTTCGCAAAAGAATTACACCACAAAATGTTGACAAATTGTCACAACTGGATTTGAAAAACCCATACAACACAATCAAGAACTATTTATTAATTTTAAGACATTTGGATAGAGAAATTATTGTATGTTTTCACAGTTTTTTTGCTTATTTATGCTGGTATCTTGAACATTTCTCAGTTTACTGCTATTAACTGTTTTTGTTTACGTGAAAGGATTAGTATTTGAATTCTGTTAGTAATTAGGATTAGAAGGGCTTTGGGTTTTCTCTTCCAAGGTAAGTATATATCTGATCAGTCATTAATTTATACCTCTATTTCATTTGTGCATATAGGCACTCTTGGCACCAGCATCTTTGATAGCCCAAAATGCTGGGATTGAGGGCGAGGTGGTGGTGGAGAAGCTGAAGGACAGCGAGTGGGAAATGGGATACAATGCAATGACGGACAAGTATGAGAACCTTGTGGAAGCAGGGGTCATTGATCCGGCCAAGGTCACCAGGTGTGCTCTGCAGAATGCTGCTTCCGTGGCCGGGATGGTGCTTACCACCCAAGCCATTGTTGTGGAGAAGCGCACACCAAAGTCACCCTCAGTTGGAGCTCCTCAGGGGCTTACCGTCTAATTATGAATAGAATCATTTATAGCAGCCGAGCATGTCTCATGTTGTAGGAATTTTTGTGCACTTTGTGAGGTTTACTTTACACACTCGTCATTGTAAGGTTGTAAGCTGAAGTAGAAGGAAAATCCTCTTGAGAGTTCATGGATTTCATGTTTTAAGGCTTTCTAGACTGCAGAAATGATTGGTAATAAAGTTGAGGCGTCTACTATGATGTTGCAATATCATTTTTTGTTACTACTTTTGCTTCAAAGGTTAATCCGTTTACTTCATTTTTTTTATCGTCAAAACTGAAAAACTTTATTAAATCAATAAATTGTTAGCCAATTGGCTGGAAATACAAACCGGCGCATAATCATAATCGACAACCTGAGATATACACATGTGATTTAGGACATTTAGCCAGGGCATGAGCCACATACTACGAATATTAGGGGTGGGCGCGGTCCGGAACGGTTCGGGAAAATTGTCAAACCCCGCAATGTATCCATGAAGTTTAAACGGTCCGGTACGGTTCGGTTTTAAGATTGGAACCATTTGGTACCATGTTGTTTCGGAACTGTACAAAACGGTACGGTACAATGCTAAAGTAATGCTAAAATATTACAAAAAACTAGCAATTAGTATTCACTAAATTACTAGATAGTTAGATACCATCATGCAAGTTGATTAAAATGACAAAAACAGACTGGAAAAGAGCATACAATTTAGAATAAAAAACTCAAAACAGTCCAACAAAACCTCATTGCTAGTTGATCTCCCAGCTTACAGAGGATTACAATTCAGTCTTTGGCTTACAAAAGCTCAAACACTACCAACCATTTCACTTTGATAAAAAAAACATACTAATGACCAAGTTCCGAAGTGCATGGACCCTGGAGGATATCAAAACAGTGGGCACTTCGCAGAACTTCTAAATTTGGGGCTGAGCATGGGACTGGGCTTTAAGTGTTGGCCAGCAAGAAATTTAGGTTGGGAAAAATATATAATTTTAAATATATTAATTATGAACGGTCCGATCCGGTATAAACCGGTCCTCAAAATCCAGAACCGTTCCCGTACCTGCTTCAAACGGTACGGTTTCGGTTTGGGATAAAAATTTATAAAACCGTTTCAAAACCCGTCAGTCTGTTCGGTACCATTACGGGCCGGTTCGCTACCGGTTCGGCTCGATTTTTATGCCCACCTCTAACGAATATCATCAATAATAAGATAGGTATAAGTTGATCCTTCATTCTTCTTCAAACTCTGAACCATTGTAAGAGCATCTGTCTCTATTTCCACCCGCTGCCAACCTGCTTCAACAGCACTCCCATAATGGCATCCCAGATCGCCATAGCCTTCGTTTCCTTTGCCGACCACCCCGCTCTGCATCCTGTGCCGCGAGCTCTCACAAGAGTCGTTCCCATCTCTAGCCACCCATCCCCAAGCTCTAATGCCTCCCGCTTGATTAACAGCCCCGTCAACATTTATTTTAATAATAACCCCATGCGTTGGCCGTTGCCACTTTGCCGTCCCCTCCACTGCCACTCCTCCCCCTTTATCCCCCGCTCCTTCATGGATGTCACACCAAGCTCCAAGCATGTTGTCCGCCACCCGGATAACCGTGGCAGCTTCTTCATTTTGCCCCTTCCAAACCGCTCCGCTTCTCCTCTTCCAAATGCTCCATAGGATAGCAACAAATCGGCCACAATTTTTTTTCCCGGCCACTCTATATTGTGTTATGAAATTGATGTAACGTACCTCGAAAGTACAACAGCGGAAGTTTAAAATTTTCCCAAACAGATCTTCCCTGATTATGACAAAACAACGAATATAACAATAATAGTAGATCTGAGTTAGAACTTACAGATCCCCCAGCCTAGCGGTGATAATCCTTGACCTTAGGTATCCACGTGATTTCTTGTTGGTACATTATATTATGATTATTATTATTATTATTATGTACGTTATACATGCAGACGACACTCATCGTAGCAGCACTTAAGTAGGACTCTGTTGGGAGTTAAATTTCCTAGATAATGATGCACGTTTGTATTTATTTGTAAATATATCCTTTCCTACTTTTTAGATAATTTAGTGGTAGATGTGAATAGGTTGTTACGTAATTGTAAATATATACTCCAAGGCTGGATGTATATGATCAACAAAACGAAATACAATTATGAGTTTCCATCCCACTTTGATATTCTGATATGGTATCAGAGCCGTAGCTTGTGATCCTGCGACTTTTGTTTATGTTTTCAATTTTTGACCGACTGAATGAATTCCACTAATTGTGCTCCTGGCTTTAACCACAAGCAGTGGAAAATTTTTCTAAAGATGGTGGAGCAATGTAAGACCACCTCTTCCGATGTCATGCCTTCAGGTATGAAAATTAAAGTTGATTGGCTCCTAGATTCCGGAGCATCCTACCACATGACAGGAGATGCACGACTCTTGACTAAAGCTGGAAATTTGGCTCCTCTTCCAGTAACATTACCAAACGGTGATATCACCCATGCGACTCAATTAGGAGATGTGCAATTGAGTTCAAATTTGACAATTAAAAATGTTTTATTGGTGCCCGGTTTGAAGTGCAACTTAATTTCAATAGCATGCTTGATAGATGACCTGAAATGTGATATATATTTTACTAATGATATTTGTGTGATACAGGACCTACCTTCGAGGATGTCGATTGGAGTGGGTAGACGCCGTGGGGGAGTATATCACTTTCACTGTTTGGATCGGATTCGAGCTTCTTCAATAACCGCAGAAGATTCAAGTGAACTGTGGCACTCAAGATTAGGGCATCCATCTTTAAAAGTTTTGAGTTCAGTTCAAGGTTTGAATAAATCTTTACTAAAGAATAGTATGAATAAAACATGTGATGCATGTTTGCGTGCTAAACAGACGAGAGATGTATTTACTGCAAATTCATCTAGAGCAGTGGAAGCATTTGAGTTAATTCATTGTGATGTGTGGGGTCCCTATCGAGTCTCTTCAACGTGTGGGGCACGGTATTTTTTGACCATTGTTGATGATTTTTCACGAGCGGTATGGGTACATTTGCTGAGCGCCAAATCAGAAGTAAAAAATGTTCTTAAACATTTTTTTTCCATGACTAGTCGGCAATTTAATAAAAATGTGAAGGTAGTCAGAAGCGATAATGGTACCGAGTTTCAGAGTTTAAAAGAATATTTTTTGGATAATGGTGTTATTTTTCAAACCACGTGTGTTTACACGCCACAACAAAATGGAAGAGTTGAGCGGAAGCATAGACATATATTGGATATGGCTCGTACACTGCGTTTTCATGCTAATCTTCCACTTAAGTTTTGGGGGGAATGTATTTTGACTGCCGCATATCTCATAAACAGATTGCCTACCCCTATTTTAGAAAATAAAAGTCCTTATGAAATATTGTACGTAGTATAACAAAACACCTTCTTATAATCAATTACGGGTTTTCGGGTGTTTGTGTTATGCACACAATAAAGGAGCCTCCGAGGATAAATTTGCACCAAGAGGGATAAAATGTGTTTTTTTTGGGGTATGCTTATTCATAGAAGGGTTGGAAAGTGTATGACATTGAAAATGATTGTCAATTTATTTCTAGAGATGTTCACTTTGTTGAGTCTAGCTTTCCGTTTGCACGAGACAACAATTCTGGAGAACTTTCGGTACCATTAGCCGGAACAAATGCAGCTCATAACCTGGAGGCTTCAATCATGACTTGGGCTCGCCACGTGGCATTACATGATCAACATGACACACCACCAATTATGGATGTTCAGGATACTACTCTTCATGCCTCTGCCAGGGAGAACAATACCAACGGCCACAATAATACTCAAGCTTCTGGGTTAGTGCCTTATCAACATGCAACACAGGCTGACGCCACGACACGCACACCCATGCATATCTTGACCAACGACAACCACACTTAGCAAAATGGACGTTTTGATAATGACTCTCATAATAGCTCTGAACGTTCCACTTTATCTCCACCGCCAGTGCATCCTCCTAAGCGGCAACGACATCCTCCAGTATGGCATCGTGACTATGACATCCAACTCAATACAGTGATCGTTAATACTCCCCCCGCTGCTACTATCCCTTTGTTGGCCGAATCAGGTAATCCTTATCCCTTATCTCATTATATAAAATATAATCAATTTTCAGTGCAGCATCGAGCATTTCTAGCCGCCATTTCAGCCAACAAGGAGCCTACTAATTACACTGATGCCGTGCGAGATCCCCACTGGAGAGAAGCCATGCAACGTGAAATACGTGCTCTTGAGCAAACAGGAACATGGAAATTACAGTCCTTGCCTCCCGGTAAGAAAGCCATATACTGTAAATGGGTTTTTAAAATCAAATATAAATGTGACGGTTCTATTGACCGGTACAAGGCCCGTTTAGTAGTATGTGGAAATAGACAGGTACACGGGATTGATTACACGGACACGTTTGCACCGGTCGCCAAAATGGTAACGGTTAGGACTATTTTGGCAGTCGCGTCATCCTGGCACTGGGAGTTACATCAGATGGATGTAGACAATGCCTTTTTGCATGGTGATTTACGTGAGGAGGTTTACATGCATTTGCCACCAGGATATTCCGCTTCAGCTCCTGGACAGGTATGTAGGTTATTGAGATCTCTATATGGACTGTGACAGGCACCCAGATGTTGGTTCTCCAAACTTACACATTCCTTAAAATCATATGGGTTTCAACAATCACATGCTGATTATTCTTTATTCACTCTTCGACGCCAGAATTGTATTTTGTGTGTCTTGGTGTATGTGGATGATCTTCTTATTACAGGGAATAACCATGATATGATTATTGATTTTAAGAAATTTTTGGCTCGGTCTTTTCATGTAAAGGATTTGGGAAATATGAAATATTTTCTCGGTCTAGAAGTTGCCAGAAATCCTAGTGGTATCTTTTTATGCCAACGAAAATATACTTTGGATATCTTGTCAGAAACCGGTCTCACCGGAGCTAAGCCAGTGAACAACTCGCCGAACAATCACTACCACTTACAAGTCATCTGCCGAACAACTCGCCGATATTTTTACCAAAGCTCTCGGCGCACATCAATTTCACTATCTCCTTTCCAAGATGGGCATTCTTGATCCCCATGCTCCATCTTGAGGGGGGGTGTTGGTACATTATTATTATTATTATGTACGTTATACATGCAGACGGCACTCATCGTAGCAGCACCGAAGTAGGACTCTGTTGGGAGTTAAATTTCCTAGATAATGATGCACGTTTGTATTTATTTGTAAATATAT